GGCTGCTCCGTGCTTTGGTGTTGGTCAGGCAGCCAAAACATCAGCCCTGCAGAATCTGAAAATCTCTGGGCCCCTAAACACAGCATCCCCCGCCAAGCCCAGCAAGACTCAGAGACCCTCCCAGCATGGCTCAGCCATGAACAGTGTGCAAGGCTGCAAGCACAAGGAGCTCCCCATAGCTCCCTGGTCCCCACATCTGCCTGACAGTGCAGCAACCCTCTGTAAACCAACTACAGCACAGGAGCCCTTCCCCGAGCTTGCCTGCATCCCCTGGACAGATGGGCTGTCAGGACACCTGCTTGGCACTGTCCAGCTTTCTCATCATTCTTCTGGGTCAGCTTGCAAGACTCAATCATGGACATCTTCAGTTCCTCTATGGGCGCCAATTCCTTTCTCTTCCCCGAGTCCATGGCACTAACTGTTTGCTGCTGACAGTCAGGTTTTCTGTGAAGTGAAGACTGAAGCATGCTGCACTTATCTCTGCATTCCCACAGCACTGCTTGGCACAGTGAGGCTACCATATGTATGTGTGCACACATACATGGATGGATGGATGGAAGGGTGGATAGAAGGATGGATGGGTGGATGGATGGATGGATGAGTGGATGGATGGCTAGTAGTTGGAGGAGGAAGTGGTGGATGTATGTGTGGGAGCTGGAATATGCTAATGTCACAAAATATGAGGCACTGTTGAGGTGAAGACATTAAGAAGAAGCAGGTGCAGGAAACCTCTCTGCTCTCCTCTATTTGCATAAAAGCAGCATACAAATTTACAAAAACAAAGTGTCCTGCCCACCTCTCCTCCAGGGAGAACTAAGGCTAACCATCGAAGACAACGTTCGTTCCCTATCTCCTGGAGAAGATGCATCTGAGGACTCTACATTAACAAGTTTCCTAATGAGCCTTGGCTGCCACTTAATCTGCCTTCCCCCAAGTGGCTGCCCCTAGAGACTCCATATCCCTTTCCTTTATCTTGTTGCTTCTGTAAGAATATGCTGTTCTTTGTTGAAGATGCCGCATGAGCTGGAATTCAAAGCCACTCCTAGAACACTGTTATTCCCTAGGCATCTTTCATGTAGATATGAAATATGCAAGTTTAAAAATTTCTGTTTGTTTTCATCTTGTTGACATGTCTTTTGGTACAGAAATCCATCCCAAATATAGGCTCAATAAGGTGAAAGAAAATTATTTTGCTTCACCAACAAATGGATGGATGATTAGATAAACGAATGGATGGATAGTTGGAGGTTGGGGGATAATTGGTAGATGGCTGGAGTAATAAGTGGATAAATGTACAGGTGAGTGACTGAATAGATGGTAGACGGATGGATGGGGGGTAATCTTACTTCATTAAATCTGTTGTAAGCAGTAAGGGACAGGAAAGAGAATTAACAGTCTGTACTATGCAAATAGAGTCTTTTAACTGATTTAGAGATTTCACAGTCGCTAGTCCCATCTGGCTTCCCCCATCGCCTTAGCCCACTCCCCCAAGTTCTTGCTTTCGCTTCACCACTGGTCACAGCCATCTCTCCAGCTCTCCTGCTCAACCAGACGCTTGACACAGGCCCTTCCAGTTAGCAAACCTCTCTGGTGACCCCACAACTCTCAGTAAGACACATCTTGGGTTTTAGATCCTGGAAGCACAGCCTGGTCAGCCAGGAATGTTGACACATTTCCAAAGGACAGGGAAGCACTTCTTGGGCACTTAGTGAGGAGGAAAAGGAGGAAGAAAAGATTGGCCAAGGAGAGGCCACCATGCTCACACCTGCACCCAGTGTCTGGGAGCTGAGCTGCACAATCCTCTGGGAGAGGGCAGGAAGCAGCAGGTGCTCTAAGATACAGGAAATGTGTTCAGGAATGGTGCAGGGGTGGCCATCTCGGGAGAGCATGGCCATTGAGTGTCTTGTACATGTCCTTTGACAACTCCTAGAAGGGAGGTGCTAAAACCAAGGCAGCTAGAATGTGCTAATATGCAGAATCTCTTCTACTCAATGCGGGGGTTGAGCCAGAATTTAAATCTAGTGTTCTGACTCTTAACCCCTTGCCCAGTCGAGTACTCTGCACTGTGTCTCCAAAAAGATTTGGAGGGAAATAAACAGTAACATGAAGCAAAGGGAGGTGGGAGAGGCCGGGCAAGCCTGTGGCCGATGCCACACAGCTCTGTGCAAAGTAGCTCCTGGCACAGGCTTTCCCTAGGAGCGTGTGAAGCGTGCAAGCGGCAGACGCCTGGCTTCCTGCTGCACAGAGATGGTGTTAGCCCAGTGGGTGACAGCGATTAATAGCTTATTTCTCAAATCAGCCTATTAGAAATGATCATGCCAGCAAGCATGGGCCATTAATCTGCGCTGGAACCCAACCTGTACAGGCGGCTGTGTGGATGTGGGTTGTGAAGACACATGAGGGGGTGGATTTCTGTGAACAGCAAACATTGCTGAGAAGTGGCCAGAGCCCAGACAGTGCCCAGCCAGGAACTGGAACACAGGGGACACAGAGCCAGAGTAGCCACAAGGACACTGCTCCCTCTATGAATGTCCCAGGATGATGCCATTGAGATTTGAAGACCACAGTCAGCTGCGTTTTCTGCCGTGGGTGTTGGGGAAGAAGCAGCAGCAGAAGGGTCCTGTATTTGATGTACCTGGACTGAGTGACATGCAAGTATCTGCCCAGAGGGGTGAGTGTGCAGAGTCAGGCTCACAGGACAGTAGGAGGGCGTCAAGCTGACTACGAGTCAGGCTGCTGTGAGTTCCCTGTGGGCTGGACGCTACCTCGCCCACATCACTCTGCCGCAGACAGGCACGACCACATGTGTGACCCCACTTCCAAGGGACCCCAGGATCTGTGTGTCCTTGGGGCTCTGGCTCCTCCTACCCCACCTCCATTCCTGACACCGAGAACTTCACAAGCTGCAGAGATGAAGAGGAAAGAAAGTCAAGGACAGTAGAGCCACAGAGGTCCCCAATGGGGCCTGAACTTTCAAAGGGATTGCAGGGCACCTAGGAGCCTGTCCTCCCCCAGGGATCCAGTCCTCCTTGGCCCAGTAGACAGATAAGAATGCAGGGCTCCCCAGTAGCCCATGCTGAGAGCTTGGGGTCTTGATCTGGTTCATGGAGAGCATCCCAGCCCCAGCCTCACTCAGCGGGAGGCCTCATGGGGCATCAGGCTCCTCCACACCCAGCATTCTCGGAGGCTGAGCATTATAAGGTCCTTGGGTGCCATTCTCTTGGCTGTTCATCCATGCCCCTGTCAGGCTAAGGGAACTGAGCCCTGCAGAGCCCCCAGCCAGGGCAGCACTCCCCAGGAACTCACCTCCCATCTCTGCTTCAGAGGGCTTGCCTTGGCTCCTTGCCTCAGTTGGACCTCCAAGTCTCTGACCCAGCCCCGCCCTATCTTCCATCTTGCCTGCACCCCTCACCTCAGTCTCCTGCAGGAGTCTCCAAAGCTAGACATCTGGAACGGCCTGAGAGCCTTTGGCTGTGACGCTTGGATTATTTCCCAGGGCCTCCTGTGGAAGCCCGGCACCTGTCCCTGAGGTACAAACCCACACCGCTCAAATCCACCCCTGGTCCTGAGACTTACACCCTGGGTGTGGGTGCATATGATGTAAAACAGGACCGAGTAAGGCCAGAAGCGCACGGCACCCATGACAAAGGGTTGTTCTGAGCAGCACACACCCCACACACACAACCATGCCGTGCCTGTTCGCATCCTGCCCTCCAGCCAATCACCTGCGGTAAGAAGTGCCCTCCCTGCAGGAGCCACCCTGGGACCAGAGAGAGCTGGACTTTCCTCAGGAAGGGGCTCCAGGCACAAACGTCACCTGTCCCTTCCCAGCAGTTACCGTTGCCCACAGGGCAGGTGGCCCAAGTGACCCGGAAGCTCATTCCTGGGCTGCTCTCCATTTTCCTTTCATTTCCACACACATGATGCATCCCGGGTGCTCCTGTGGGCCTGGACATCATTACCTGCAGGAGAACATACAGAAGAGGGGCAGTGCCTGACCTTCCGATGTACCCAGCTGCACAGCCCTGGCACCGCACAGCCACCAGGGACCTGGCTCCTACAGGGGGCCGGAAGATGATTGTTAATGACGCTGGCACTTCATGGAGATGACGCACTGCCACCCGCTGTGGGTCACCGGGGACCTGAGCCTCTGAGCCAGTGATGCTGAACCTTTTAGAGCTCTCAGAGATACAAACAGCACTGTTCCAACCCTCTGCACCTTCTCTCACCTCCTGCTCCCCCTGGGAAGTGACCAGGGTTCCCCAGGCCCCCGTGTCCTGTGTAATTCCTACTACCTCACAATCCTAGTTGCTCACCCCCAATTCCCTGCCTGTACCCCAAGGAGGCCTTGCTTGATAGAGAGGCCATGGTCTAGTGTCATCAGCACATATTTCCTGGGTAATCGAGAGGAGACGATATAGAGAGAAGAAAAGTCTTAACTGTATCTTTCAAATTCCCAGGCAAAAGAGCTTTTGAAAAGTACCTGCCACCACTCCTCGTTATTCCACGAGTATCTCATCAAAGTCCCTTTCTTCTCACCCTGATTGCTCCTTCTCAAGCCATCACCACAGTGGAAAGACTGAGTTTGGGGAAACAGGGGCCACTGATTGCGTGGCCCATGGAAGGCCACGAGGTCAGGAGGCTGGGGAGGGAATCCATAATGGCACAGGGTCCCCCGCATCTGCAGGACAGGTGGGTCAGCCAGGACAGGGCTCCCTTCTCTCTCTGGGGTTGCTTTCTGTGACTTCTCATTAGAAAGAATAAAGTCTCTCCCTTTCTATGAGGAGTCAGACACAAACATGGATTTCTTCGTCGACTTTTAAGGCTGACAAAAACAAATCCACCAGATGGAAAAACACAGCCCCACATAGGGTGCTCTGTGTGCAATAAATCCTTTACCTGTTGTGGCCTGCTTTCCTAAACCCAAAGTGACTGCAGCCAGTGATTTTTATTATTGCTCATATATTGTTTAAATATTTCAGCTGGGAGATGGTGTGCAAAGAGAGACAATAGCCTGTCTGACATAAGATTTATTAGAGAAAGCCGGCACAAATATATTTGTAGGGAACAAAATATGTTTGTAGAGATTATTCCAGATTTACAGTGATTAATAACGGAAGGGACTCAGAGATGTCAAGGAGCCGCCGCCTCCCTGGCAATCATTGCAAGGGGCTGAGTCAAAACAAAACATCAACTCTGGGTGCCAGCAACCTCTTGCCGAAGGATCGGAGTTTTCCAAATGGAATGAAGTGAACAACAGCAGCGTCTCTGCTCCAGACAGCTTCAGACTCGGTGATCTGCCATTGCTGCCAGTGGGGGCCGATGTGACTCAGAGACAGGACGGGAGGCATCCGCAGCCTGGCACCGAAGGGGTTTCTGGGGTTCCAGGAGGGCGCTGGCCGGCGCTGCTGCGGCTGCGGGAAGCGGGCAGTCGTGAGATGAGCTGCTGCCCGTAGCTGTGTCTCTTTCACCCACAATGTCCAGAATGAGACCCCAGCCCAAAGAGCATTCTCCTGAGCAGAAGGTGAGACCCAGGGCACACGGGACCTCTGCGGGGACAGGAAGGTGGCTGCGGAGCCTCAGAGCTCCAGGACCTGCCTGGAGCCAAGGGGAGGTGGAGCCAGGCCCTACCAGCTCCCTGCAGATGCCCAGAATGTGGATGCAGCAGGAAGAAGAGCCCCCCACCAGTGTGCATATGACTTTCTCTAAGGGTTTCTTTCGCCCCCACTTTCTGGGTCCCCTCCTGGCAGCCGACCTCTCCAAGCCCTTCCTCCTCCTCCTCCTCCAGCTGGGCGGGCTGAAAGCAACCGCCTGATTAATAACATTGCGGAGCAGACAGTAGATGGAGGCTGACGCTAACAGGCCCCTAGATTCAATCTTATCACCCAGGAAGGGGAAGAGGGCCTTGTGGAGAAATGACAGTGGAGCGCTTCTGCCCTGTCCGTGACAGATGGCTTGTGCCTGTCCCCGCAATCCTGAGCCCAGGCTGGCCTGCAGGAAGGTTCGCCCCGGAGAGCCCCAGGCCCACCCACGGCTGCTGGGGGCGGAGGCCCAGGTGGGAGCTCGCATCCCACTCTTGAGTGCGCTGGTGGGGCTCCTCCCCGGGGCTGTTGCCATGGGGAAGGAGCGGATGGCTGTGCTACAGCTGCGCCTGAGCCTCCCTGGAGACGCCGGGATGCGTCCGACTGGAAGCAGCAAATGAGCAGCCATAATCTTCAAACGGGCTGGATAAGTGACTGATTGGGCTCTGGGCGGTAAACAGCCTCTGTTCTGGAGGCGTGGGCCGTTGGCTCCTGCTCAGCCACTTTGGTGTTGCCTGAGGCCCGGAGCTGGCGACTTCATCCTCCGGTACCGTCCCGGCTAGCCCAGACCCACCCTGATACGCGGGGCTCCGGTGCTCCTCTGCCTCTCCCACCCCTTGCCAGCCACTGTCCAGCGACGCAGGAGACTGCTGGGCATCTCGGGGAGGGGAGAACCACAGCAAGGTGGCCCCTGAGGCCCCTGCCACCTGGAGATGCCCATCCTCCAGCCTTACCCACCTGGACTCAGCCAGAGAGGGGCCGACAACAGTGAAGGAGGAGGCCCTGGCAGGCCAGCAACCTCTCTTCAATCAGCTCAGCTCCGTGAGGACTCAGATGCCAAAGACAGAGCCTGTGATGGCGGGGGATAAAGAGAGACAGAGAGAGACAGGAATGAAGGGGAGAGACAGGGAGGGACTGGACACAGAGACACGGGGTCATTAGCAGCCCCGATTCTGGGGTGTGGGGTGGACACAGTGTACCTCCCCCAGCTCCAATCTCCTGCCACACATGTGGTCACCCACACACACCCAGCAGTGGGGCCTGTTACTGTTCCAGTTTTGATGATGGACACCCTGTCCCTGCTGGGCAGGGCACTCACTGCTGTCCATCACCTCTGTCACCAGACAGCAAAGCCTCCCTCAAGGGTACTGTGGTAAAGGTCAACAGAGCCCAGCACAGGGCGTGTGAGTAGACACAGCCTCACACGTTGCCAACGGCTGGAGCTGCTCATTCCTGCACCTCTGCCCCACTGCCCACGCTGTCCATGGGAGGCCGGTAGTGCATTGGCACTGGAGCCCCTGCACCCAGCTAAGCCAAGAATTATGTCCCAAGTGTCCCAGATCATAACACAGCACCACCATCCACATCAGTGCTGCCCGGGTCCCCCACTCCAGGTGACAGCACTGGGCAGCATCTACAGCCCAGGACAGATATGAGCATCCTCAGCCAAGGAGAAAGACACAGGGTAGGGTCTCCCTTAAAGATGCCAGACTGTTTTCCAAGAGGCCTGCCAGTGTCAGCTACCCACTGTCCTACGATGTGACCTTCACCTTAAGACACAGGTCTAACTCCATTCCTGGAATGGGGGGATAGGCTGAGGGCCACTTTGTGCAGTACAGCATGGCCCAAGTGACCTGCCACACCCAGGCTGGGCACTGAGATGTGACACTTTCTGTCTATGGGCCCCAGGACTCAGCAGGGATCCAGAGCAGCCAGGAGAGAAGCCAGACCACTGTGCAGCCACCAGGCTGTGAAGAAATGAGGTGTCCAGGGCACAGGTGGGCTCCAGTCTTCGGTATGAGTTATGGGTCACCCTGATGTCTGTAGAGGCCACCAACCCCCCCACCATGGAGTCCCCCGACCTTGAGTCTCCCCACCAGAGATCTCAGACACCTGGACTCAATGATGAGATTTCCCCACTGCACTCTGAATTGCTGACCCTCAGGGTCTGCAAGCATTCAAACTGCTGTGCTTTGGGGGCAGTAATTTGGGGTGCATTCAGGCAGCAATGGCAACCAGAGGAAAGGGGAAGTCAGCAGGACGTCACAAGCCTGGGTGGAGAAGCAGCTGTGGAAAGAGCCAGCAGTGACTGGGTTGCATCTTCAGTGGAGTGGTGGGCAGCTGTATGGAGTTCCCGCTGGGCAGGTGCACAGAGCAGCTGTGACTCAGAGCCACAGCTCTGTGACATCACAGGCCATCTTCCGAGCACCAGGCACAGGAAGCTGTACTTAGAGAAGAGGCCAGAGGCGGGGGCTGGGTTTTCAGCCAACAGAAAGGTGTGGACAGTTCCGCCAGCCTGGAAACCACCCGAGGATGTGCATGACAGTGCCAGTCACAATAGCCCCAGACTAGAAAGCGTCCCATTGTCCATCCACAGTAGGATGAATAAATCCACCTCGAAATGTGTACTCTGTGCAAAAGGAACAATCTAGTGCTACCTAAAGCAACACAGGTTCATCTCACAGAGGGCAGGTGACATCTAAAATGGGAACAGACTTCTCGGTTATTGTTACATAAAGTTAAAAAAAAAAAAAGAAAGAAAACAGCCAAAGGGAAGCACATAAAAGAGGAAGACGGTGGAAGCTGGGATGGGCTGCTGGTGGCCCTGTGTTCACAAGGGTGTGCTCAGCCAGTGAAGGTCCACCGTGAGGGATGCTGGGTGCTCTGTCACATGTACCGCATTTCCCCTAGGAAGCCGACCAGGTGCACACCCACATCCTCCAAGCAGGTGCCTGAGCCCTCTCAGGATGGTCTGCAGAGACAAGCTGGATTGGAAGGCGGCTCTGCCCTGTCTTCTCTGGACATGCCCTTGCACAAACCTGCTCCTCTGGGCCTCTGCTCGCTGCTCAGGGGAGGGTTTTTCTTTATTTCTTTGCTTGTCTGAATTTAACGGTGTTGAGATCCATGACCCTATGAATAAGTGCATCTCCCTTACAGTGAGGTGAATAATCTTGGCTGTGTGGTCCTCTAATAACATCGCTGATTAAAATTCATTCAAGTGAGAATTAAATATAATTGCTGACGCATCACTGGGTTTTCACAAAATGTTTTTCATTTGTATCAATGCCCTAAGAATGATCAAAATGAGACATTCATTAAGGGATTCTTAATTAGAGTTTCAAGAAATGTGTAATTGACTCATTTTAATTACAATGTAACTTCACCCATCATTCCTGTCACAGACTCCTTGCAACACTGTGTGGAGCATGTCCATCAGTGACCAGGGCAGCGCCACACTGGCCAGGAGGAAGGGTGCTAGCCACAGCTGTGTCTGTGGGGTGAACTCCCTTGGAAAGAGAACACATGATGTTTTGGGGCTAATGATGTTTGCACAGTTGAAAAATGCAGAAGGCAAGATGCGACTTTCACGTGAATTTGGTGGAAAATAACACCTGGGTCCCCACCTGGGAAAGACAGGTGTCCCCTCCTGCTGCCCTCCCCTCTGATTCTTCACCAATGTGTGTGCTTGTCACAGCTGGAGGCACGGAGGCATCCTGTCAATGGGGGTGCTTCCCCAAAGGGGAACCATCATAGGTCTCCACCCAAGCCCAGCCACTCACAGACATCCCTCCTGTCTGTCCCCTGGACCACCCTGCCAGTCCCCAGACCCCCTGTGTGAGCCCACAGCCCACCTTCCTTCTCTGTGTAGAAGAACCAGGAGAATGGGACCTCTGAGAACCAAGTGTCCCTCTGGCTCAGACAAGCTGAAATGGCAGAGGGAAGCATGTGTCTGTCTCTGTCATGGCTCTGGGAAGTGGATTTCAAAGCTTCTCCCCATTCCAGCCCCTTTGCAGTCTGCCACCCTGTGATCCTTAAAGACCTGTACCCAAGGGGGCTTTGAAATCAGTTCCACCCATCACGTCTTCTTCCCTGGGAGCGTTGGGCTTCCTCTAGCACAAGACTTCTCAGATCACTTTAAAACAGTATTGTATTTGCCTCTGTTTGAGGGTTTGTTGCTGTTGTTACTCAAGGTTCTTGTAAAAGCAACAAATAAAGACTAAGTGACAGATAAGGGAAAGGGAAAAGGCAGAAAGAGACAGAAGGGAGGGAGGGAGAAAGGGTTAGGAAAGGAGAGGAGGACAGGAAGATGGTCCATTTATAATTGAGGAAACTGAGGCCCACAGAGACCCACCTTGTCTATGTCCCCACTCTGGGGGGCTCAGTGAAGCTAGAGGCTTAGCTGGGGTCAGGAGCTTCTTCCACTGTGCCACACAACCAGGTCCTAGGGGTCTTTCCAGAATGCATGGACTTCTAAGAGCATGCACACAACTGGCCTGGGAGCAGAGGTTGCCCCATGCTCTGGGTGTGGCATGGATACTCCTGGGGTGACTGTACAGTGAGGGCTGAGCAGGTGTCTGCTCACAGGTGCACATTTATCTCACTGCATACAATAAAAGTGATATGCAAAGAAATCAGAACACCAAACCTTTGGCATAATATTATTCTTGCTTATCCAAAATGTATGAGGAACTCCAACAACTCAATAGCAGGACACCAGGTTCCCAATCAAAAACAGGCCAAGGAAGTAAAGAGACATTTGCCCGAAGAAGACATTCAAATGACCGTCTAAGTGTGGGAAAAAGAGTGCAGCATCTCATCAGAGAAATGTAAATCAAAACTACAATGGGAGAAGATCACCTCACACCTACCACGATGGCCACTAACAACACCCAAAAGAAAGAAAACTCCAAGAGAACCAGGCATGGGTGAGGGTATGGAGTCAAGGCAGCCATCACGCTCTGATGCAGTCACTATGGAAAACAGCAGAAAGGGGCCACAAAATATCAAAAATAGAGCCACTGTATGAACTCCAAATCCCACTTCTGGATTTATATCCAAAGGAAATGAAATAAGAATCTCAGGCAAGTTATTCATAATTAGCTGAGATATGGCAACAATGTAAGTATCTGTTGATGGATGAGGGATAATGAAATGTCTCTCTCTCTCTCTCTCTATTTCTCTCTCTCTCACACACACACACACACACACACACGGAGTGGAATGTTAGCTTACAAAAGGAGGAACCCCTGCCATTTACCGCAATGGGATGGACAGAAGAACCGTACATAAGAGAAACCAGCTGGACACAGAAGAATAAATACCTTGGATCACATTTCCACTAGGAATCTAGGACAGGCACACTCAGAGAAAGGAGGTGAAAACTGCTGTGACCAAGGGGAGGGGGCCAGGGAGATGCAGGTCACAGAACACCAAGTTTCAGGTGTTCGAGGACAATAAGACCTAAGGTCCCACTGTGTATCTTCATGTCTACAGTGAACAATACAGTACTTTTGACTCACAAACTGCTGAAAGGACACAATACATGCCAAGTACTCTTAGCATTAAAATGACGGTGGTGATGGTGATGGTGGTGTTAGTGATGGTGGTGATGATGATGGTTGTGGTGATGGTGAAGATGGTAATGGTGATGAAGGTGCTGGTGGTGATGATGGTGATGGTGAAGATTGTGATGGTGGTGATGGTGATGATGATGATGATGGTGGTGGTGATGGTGATGGTGGTGATGACAATGATGATGATAGTGATGGTGGTGATGATGATGAAGATGGTGGTAGTGATGATGGGATGATGATAATAATGGTGATGGTGGTGTTGCTGATGGTGATGATGATGGTGAAGATGGTGATGGTCATGACAATGGTGATGCTGCTGCTGCTGATGATGGTGGTGATGGTGAAGATGGTGATGGTGGAAGAAGGGGGACTCAGGAAGGTTGAAGCAGGTATCTGGGCTGTGCTGCAGTGAAGGTTCCCCCAGTACATGCTCACCTCCAGCCTCACCCAGTCAGAGTCAGGCAATGCAGTCACATGATTTTAAGATGGACAGGTTAGTCTTGTTTTATTTCACAAAAGTTCAAATCACATTGGTGAATGTAAAAAATAAACTGCTTTCCATACCAGTTTTGAGAAAGGTTTGCATAATGAGGACACAAGAGCTTCAGGGTGTTAACTTGGGGCCTTGGAGTGTCAATTTCTGATGTTTTGGGGAAGCCCTAAGCCTGCCTCCTTCCTCTCTCTCTTTCTGTCCCTTCACCACCCTCTCTCACATCCTTTGAGAATTCTCCTCAGCCAGAAACATGAACATGGGCACCCTACACCACATCTGTGTCTGGAATTTGGCACCAGGGGTCTTGGAAATACCAACCAGGTACCCAGTACTCATCACTACCATGGATTCTGCACCCCATACTGGCTGATTCAACCTGATTCTACCAGGCCTTTGGCTCTCCTGGCCCTCAGAGCCTATCCCCCTCCCACCCCACCCCAACTCCATACTGTCACTGTGGGCTCTCAAAGGCAGAGCCTTCAGAAATGAGTCTTTCGGGCCATCCATACTGACATGCAATGGGGACCTCACAAAGGCCTCGCGGAAGTGACATGCTCAGCTCCTGGACACCTCAGGGCTTTATTTCCGGACAGTACAGGGACAGGAAGACCACACACTTCACAGGATATGCGTGTGTGTGCCAACTGCTGGAAGGCAGAGATTGCACATACAGAATACAATGTCCCAGATTCTTTCCAAACCCAAAGAGGGATGGAATGATCCTAGCTTTCTTTTTTAAGGAAATAAAAGCCCAGATAAGATTTTTCCAGACAGATAGAACATTTTCTTCAGAACATTCAGTGCTTTGGCACACTGCTATTCTCCTCCTCACAAAGGATTCCTTGTTCTGTTTCAAAGTCACCTGCGCTTGGGCGGTCCAGAGTGGCGTCTGGCGAGGGTTGATAACATGCACCGTGCCGGGCCACCCGCGAGGAATGTGCACTGGTTAAATATGTTGGGTGAGATTACGATAGATTTGACAATACTTTTAAGAGGCTTATGTCTCAGTTTCACCTTTCACCAACATCTGTTTGAAGGATTTAGATAAGATGTCTCAGAATGATGTCACAACCCATGAGGCACCCCCACTCT